CAAGAAGCGATGGATTTCCGCAATGCTTCAAATTGTGTCGGGCGACAGTAAAATATAAATAAGAAAGGGGACTTATACACATTAAGTCACACTTACAAAAGTTTTTTCAATTATATACGTTACTGACCATATTTATTACTTTTAATAGATTTATCTCAAGAAACTATGTGGATAATATGTGTGATGTGCTAGTATATATACATTAATATTTTCGTATGATGTGGATGCCTTTGTCTGTTTGACTGAAAAGGTCGACTTTCCAGTCGAAAAAACGTCGCTATTAAAAAAAAACGTGTTATATTTTTTATTTTGAAGTTTGCCCCAAAAGATCAAATAAAAATTACTAAATTTTAAATATACGCATGTACTGTGCAAGCTAGCTAGAAGAAAATATTGTACATACATTTAATTCAATGTAATATTTTTATGTACAATTTAATATTAAAATACAATGTGATATTTTAAGAATAATAATTTTTATGAAACATGAATTAACTGTACCGTTATGTGTACAATATTTTTTGACGTATAGTATTTTCACCCGCTAAACAACGATTTTCGATGGTGGGTCGCGATCCAGGTGGTTAATTTTTGTTATTAACAAATATTTTAAGCAATGATGAAAAGTAACAAATTAAAAATTATTAGTAAAAAATTGTAATAACTAAAAGCACGTGTATACTGTAGCTGATGAAAAAGGGAAAAAGTGTATTTTTTATATACGGTTCAGTATTAAAGATTGCTTCACGTGAAGAGTATGAGCTTAATGCATATGGTTAACAGTAAACTTTTTGTAATAAATTAGCTAAAAAATTGGAAAAAAAAGTTTTTTGAGAGTAAAATTTGATTTTTCCAATTTATCCATAAAATTTGTCTAAATAAATAACTGACCACTTGGGCAGCAGCACATTATGCAGAAACGTGTTCAGCAGGAATAAATACATAAAAAAATCTTGGTAGGACCGTCTGGATAGAAGAAATTTAATGTCAAAATATACTGTGTTGCATTAAAAGACATATTATAACGTCAGGCTCGCTGAATAAATAACAACCGCGTAAAATGAACTGCTCTTTTTGTGTTCTAGTACTACATAATATTAGGCTTATCATTTGAGAGGTTTTGAGTTGGAATCAATAAACCAAGCTTTATGTCATGAGCGATCGAAAATCGTAAAAATCGCATTTTTCAAAACTTCTCGATTTTTTTGCGAGAAAAGTATTAGGTTTACGAATATGGTTTATGTGAAACTTTTGGTTCCAAACAAATTGAGCCAAAGAACCATTATTGTTTATAAAAGCGGTTCGGTTTCAATTTCTGACGAAAGTTTGGTAATTTTTCCTCTTTTTTGTATCTGAAAGTTGCCGCAACTTCAGTATTACATATAAACTATTATGAAGAAACGATAATTGGCTAAGTTACGGCAGGTATTCTTTTGGTACGATTGGTGTCCATTTTTTTGGAGGTCGTTTTTCGGGTAGTAAATAAATTCTAATGTTGCCGCAAATGGTCCCAGTGTAAACACATTTTCTTGAGATTTCTTTTAGGTGTCTTGTGGACTTCTAACGTTCATCCAAAACACATCTTTGGGGAATTTTACCTCTGAAACTTCCTCAAGATCTGTTACAGATAGACATAAGAAGTCTACAGAACATCTAAAAGAAATCTCAAAATAATGTGGTTACTTACTGGGGTACTTCTTGGCATCCATTGGTAGGTACATGTTGCGGCTGGTATACAAAATCAACTACATGGCACTTGTTAAATAAGAAGTCTTTTCACCAGAATGAAATATAATAAAAATACGTTGATAGATATTTATTCTCAAATCATGAGGTTTCTCATTTCCTGTGAGAGTTATACTTATGGGTTGCGGCTGAAATTTTTTTTTTACCACCCTCGGGTCTCGTCACTCTCGTCGCAAAGAGCTCATCTGACTGCTGACAGCGTCTATCTACAGTGTGTGCTTGCGTGCGCGAGCGATTTCAGCCGTACGGAAGCCTGTATAGTGTAAGATACAGGTATATATCACCTACAGCAGCTACAGCTGTGAGAGAGAGAGAAGTGCATGCCTATATACGACTCGTTATTGTCCTCCGGCACGTCGACATTGAGACATCGTTAAGGTTCCCGCTGCGACAGTTCGTGGACAGGAGTTCGACTGATTTTAAGAAGTAAGGGATTGCATCATATTATTTTTTTTTCTCCTTGTTCGTCTTGCATTTATGATCGATCGTATTCGTAGTTTTTTAACATTTAAACCAGACAGCACGTGTACCTTCGTTTAAACGAGCTTATACATTTCAAAACACCAAACACGTGGCTTTATGTTTACTTCTTTTCTTTTACTCTTGGACAGAATAGTGTTTGTAAACGAGCAAAGTACTTACTTGTTGACTTTAGTTTAGGACAATCTTGGATCAGAAGCCAAAAACCCATTATTGTTAACACAGTAATTCAACTTTTTTTTCCTTTACTCGTAGGTATAACGGCTAGTAAGGACGCCTCGGAAAATGCGTGTGTATATACTTGTTGCCATGGGTTTCGGTGTTTTCGTTGGGCGTGTTCGTTTGTGTTGGGAGGATTTTTTTGAGTGTCATGCAATTTGGCCAACCCATCTTTCGTGTATTTCTATATCGATCGACGTGAAGTGCCTCGAGCGTTACTTGTCGGCTAACTAATCGACACTAAAGTATACTTGTATTGTTTTTCGAAACAAGTGCGAGTTGTTGCGACTGTGTGAAATAATTGAATTCTTTAATTAGGTAAACAATTTATTGTCAGCAGTCAAACTGAATTTGGATTTTATTTTTATCAATTCAAGATTACCTATCTTGTTAAATATTAAAAACTTGCAACTATCCTCGTTTAACAACTTGAAAAGTCTATTATTTTTTTTTTTCTTTTTTCTAGTAATCTAAGCCATTGTGGCTAATGACACTAATACATGCATAATGCAATACTTTTTTTTTTAGTATTAATAAACAACTGTATTCAGTTCAGACTGAAATGATAAGCTCATCTTTCCATAATTCAATGCGCTTTTTCTCAAAATTTTATTAAAAATTAAATACAAACAACAAACGTTTTCTCTTTTGCGGATACAGTACAGTGTACACTTAATATTGTTTTTGTGTACTCAACTATTATTCGTACACCTTGCAATCATCTCTCTATCTCGCATTCTTTATATGAGGATTATAAGGAACAGCAGTCACTTGAATGAATTTGCTATCCTATTCTTTCATCAAAATCACGGAACAGCCATTTTTGTTTTTTCCTTGAATATGTTTTTTTTTTTTTTTTTTTTTTTTTTTTTTTTTTTTTTNGATGTCATTTAGTTTGATATAAGTAACAGGTCAGATTTTTTTATTTGAATAAATTTTGCCGATGAATAATACATATTGTTGTCTGTGTTAAGAAAAGAACTTCGATTTTCTATAATTCGTCAATTTAAAAACCCGACTTGTGTAGATTTAGAGTTTACACTTTGGTGATTTCAAACGAGCATTTTTAAAAAGTACAAGCACATGTATCTGTTTTTGTCGACGCTCTGAAATACAATACAATGCAGTAAAGAGCAGAGCGAACGTGCCGATAGCAAGGATTGTTTAGAATAGGTGTACCATAAAGATATGAGAGTACGCACAAGGAATATCCGAGAGTCTCTCACTACACTCGCACTCTGCGCGTCCATCTGACCCATCGACTATTGGAAATTCTTCGAAAAACTTTCTCTTTCTTTTCTGTTTTATGGTATAAGAACTGTCCTTATATGTGTACACTGAAATTACACTTTTCCGTTCCCAAGTTGGTGTTCCATTACTACTTGCCTTTGTGGCAAATTAGACGTACCAAGTGAAATTGAATTGATTTTCTTCACGACAGAACTACGACGTTAATTGATACATACAAATATTTATCAGCTCAAGTCATGTGGAACCTTCGTTATCAGGTAAAAATTTAGTAGAAGCTATAGGTATATTTGTTAGACGTTAAATATCCGATACACACGGTATTATACATCAAACTTTTGGTTGTCTATTTTTTCAAGTATTTCAGATATAGTAATAGCTGGTTGAGCAACTATTCACTAATATTGTCTTATTAATATTGACGTAGCTACTGTATCATATCTTGATGTGCTTAACGAGCGTTTTTTCTGACGATAGTTTTCCAATTAGACAAAGCTATTCGTGTACACGCATATCACCTATCGACACTATCATATCTCGTTATTCTTAATGTTCCTACTGAAGATAAGAAAATTTTTCTTTGTGCTAACACTACACACTAATGGCATTATGTGTACATTTAAAGTACTTTTTTTTTTTAATATTTCTAAATCTCATTTTCACAATAACACTGCGACATTACTTTGAAAAGTACTGGCACAGCAAATGTTGGAAAATTTTTTCTCTTAAAAAACTACAAATCTTTCCATGGTGATCGAGTAATTCCAGTTTTACTGTCGTGTCAAAGATAGCTAGTATTTTTTCTATCAATTTTATTGTAGTATCGGTCATTTACAGGATTTTTAAAAAGGGTAACTAATGAATCATACGACTTTTTGCTTTGCCCTTTTTTTTTTTTTAGTGGATAAAAATATACACCTTACTAAGAGCCAATTGATGTAATAACTGTTAATTGTATTTTTCATCTTATAAAAGACTCCTGTGAGCAACAAATAGCAATTTTTCAATAAGTACTAGAAGTTGCAGAATATATAGTATTTACTTTTAAGTAGTTGCCATTCGTTAAAAAAAATTTACTTGATAAATAATCCGACACCTCAAATTAAAAAATTGGTTTCAACATTTTTAAGAAGCTTATTTTTGTTTCTCACTCCCAAAGGTGACATGGAGCAGCGTGGTGGAAGAGGTAACCGCGGACAGCGTGGCGGAGGAGGTAACCGGGGGCAGCGTGGTGGAGGAGGTGACCACGGTCGAGGTGGAGGAGGTGAACGTGGTCGAGGTGGAGGTGGTAGAGGTGGAGGAGACAGTGGTGGTGGAGGTGACCGGGGGCCTCGTGGTGGAGGCCACTCGGAGCCGCGTGGTAGAAGTAGCTGGGGACCACGTGGTGGAGGCCACCCGGAGCAACGTCCCTCGAGTTACCCAGATTCGCAGTCCTCGCAAACTCAGTCAGGACAGCAGCAACAACAACGTCCCGTTAGTACCCCGGAGCAGCAGCAACCTAAAAGTCAGTCGGTGGAGCATGCCAAACGTGATCCGATGCAGCGGCCTAGGGATCGCCTCAAAGTTGAGCGTCATGAAATTTGCACGCGTGGAGTTATAACATCGAAACAAGGTATCGTTTGCATTTTTAATTGCTTGCAATTTTTTATTTTTTTGTTAATACGTACAAAAAGTTGAAATTTATTTAGCAGAAACGATAATTAAAATACCGATAATACTAGCTTAGTTAAAGATTAAGATTTATTTTCTAATAAAAAGTTTATTATTTAGTTTATCTCAAAAAATCATAAAAAGTTTAATTCAAATGAAATTTAAACGTTGGCGGGCAAATGTACCAAATAATGTTTTCTACGTGTGATGTCATTAACGCCAACACGGGAAGTTATTTCCGATACATTATGATAACCTGTGTACTACAAAATATTAATTCTTTGTCTTAAAACTACATCTTATTGAAAATAATTTCTTGTCTTAACGAAATATCTCATCTTAAATTCGAGCCTCGATATGCTCGTTACTCTTTGTTTATTAAAAATTGACATTATTCGTTTTAACCAAACGTTGGGTTCAAAGTGTTAACATCCGTTAATAGTACAAAAATTATGTGTACAAATCAACAGAATCGTAATATGAATAAGAAATTTTAATTTTTTTTTTTTTTTTCGGCTTCCAGGAAAGTTAGGGATGCCAACTACCTTGGAGGCAAATTATTTCAAACTAAGTGCTCATCCTGACTGGACGCTGAACCAGTACAGGGTGGATATAGCCCCGGAAGTGGAACATACCGGTGTTAAAAAGGGCCTTTTGCGCGTCCACAAAAATGAATTGGGCGCTTATCTTTTCGATGGTACCATGCTGTACACGTACCATAATCTACCTCAGGTAAGCTTTAAAAATATTTTATGCGTGGAAATGTTTTGTATATCTGAAACGGTGAATTCTAGAATACCACCTCTGTTGGAATTTTTTTGTAGAATCACGATATCATTAAAGCAAATGGTATTTTGTTCACACAACATTAAAGTTACATTTTTTGAGTGAAAAAAAAAAAAATTAAATTAAATTAAATACTTACTGTTTAGTTAATGCCTGAACAAACTCGTTTTGAGGCCCAATTACATAATTTGCAAAGCATACGGTGCAAATTTTGTAAGTTTTACAGCAACATGTATTTTTTATCCCAAATGTTTGATTATAATGACGTAATTTGTAATTCCAGCCTCTTGAATTCAATTCCTTCCGAGAACCGGACAAACAAGCGGTCAATATTAAAATCAGATTAGTGTCTACGGTCGCTCAAGGGGACTACCATTACCTCCAAGTGTTCAACGTCATTGTGCGTAAGTGTCTTGAACACTTGAACTTGGCTCTGGTTGGAAGGAATTATTATGATACAGAAGATGGGGTGAGTAAATGTTAGTAACCATGTCCATACACGAAGCTCTGGGAAATAAGAGTTTTTCCTTCTCAGATCACCATACCTCGATTCAGGCTTAAAATTTGGCGAGGCTACGTGACGTCTATCAGACAGCATGAATCTGGTATATTGCTGTGCTCCGAAATTTCCCATAAAGTGATGCGCACGGAAACCATACTAGATGTGCTAATGGATTGTTATCGTCGAAACAGCAGAAATTATCAGGTGAGGTTTTGTTTTCTTCGTTTGACAAGGTCTAGTGATAATTTCTAGAATGTTTTTAACACAAAGAATAATTGGATTTCAGAAAATGTTCTTTGATGCTGTGGTTGGTAATATAGTTATCACCCATTACAACAATAAAACGTACAGAATCCATGATGTCGATTTTAAAGTCAATCCTCAGAGCACATTTAAAAAACGCGACGGTACAGACATTCAATATGCTGAATATTATAAAGAGAGGTACAACATCGAAGTAAAAGACCGTAAACAGCCTCTTCTGGTTTCAAGATCTTCTGCAAGGGACATAAGAGCTGGTCTTGCCGAGTTTGTCTACCTTATACCGGAGTTCTGTTACTCCACTGGTAAGTTGAAGAACTAAAATAATAACGATACAGAGAACATGTACAAAATTGAGAAAAGCAGAAAATTATACTAGAAACAAAATTATTAATTTGCTAATAAGTATCGCCATAGGCTGAAAATGAGATTTCTTTTAAAACAATTTTACAAAGCAAATTCGAAAGTAGGAAAAAAAGTAAAGTCTGTTGAATGATGTTTAAATATTTACTTTCGATTTATATACGTATGTATCTGCGTGTAATGATTCGTTCGAAATTGAATATTTTAGGTATAACTGACGAAATGAGACAGAATTTCAATCTGATGCGAGAGCTCATTGCTCAGACGAGAATTTCACCTGACGTTAGAGTTGAACGGTTGATGAGCTTCCATAAGCGGCTTAATTCGAAACCTGCTATCAAAGATGATTTGCAACGCTGGAATTTGCAGCTAGACAACCAGCTCGTGAAAGTTCCTGCCCGAGTGCTTCCCATTCAAAAAGTCATTTTTGGCAACAGAATCCAAGTTGACACACAAAATGCCGAGTGGGATCTTCACTACAAGCCTAAGCCAATGGTAGCTTCGGCTGACCTAAAAGAATGGATTGTTTTCTGCACTCAGGAGCTATGTACTCCAACACAGGTGTTTACTATTAAAAACATGATTTTTTTGTTGTGACTTAGTATTAACGTACTTATTAAAAATGTCATGTTTTTCTAGAAATTCCTGCAAGAAGTCGTAAATATTGCTGCACAGATGGGTTTCAGGATGATTAGACCAAGTATCAAGCTCATTCAAAACGAGAATCCTGATACTTACGCGAATTCCATTTCATCGGTAATAGCCAACTCCAATCCACAAGCTATTGTTTGCATTGTATCGAACAACAATCAAGTGAGATACAACGCAATAAAAAAAAAGTTGTGCGTGGACAGAGCAATCCCGAGTCAAGTGATCTCAAGCAGATCATTGGAGCATAAAAGCAGACGTGCTGTGGCATGCAAAATTGCCGTCCAAATTAATTGCAAGCTTGGCGGAACTCCATGGATAGTTGATATCAGTGAAACCTTGGTCAAAGGTCTGATGGTGGTTGGATTCGATGTCTGCCACGAAAAATCGATTGGCTCCGAAGACTTCGGTGAGTTATTTAACTATTCATGTGTGTACGAATTATTAAATTGATATTACTCTACCACTTACGAGCCATAAAATTTAATTTTTACAGGAGCCATGGTGTCTTCTTTGGACAAAAATTTTGGTCGCCATTTCTCGGCCGTTACCAAACAGTTGCCTGGAGAAGAACTCTCCAATTGCATTGCTAACCATTTGTCAACTGCCGTCATGGAATACAGACGGAACAACAACAATGAGCTACCGAGTTGCATTATAATATATCGCGATGGAGTCGGCGACGGACAAATTCCTTTCGTCCACGAGTATGAAGTGAAACAAATCCAGAAGAAGCTCGAGGATGTCTACAAAGTGGCAAACAAAAAGCTTCGATTGGCGTTCGTAATTGTTACAAAGAGAATCAACACGAGACTCTTTAACAAGCGCCAGAATCCAGTACCTGGTACCGTTGTAGATGATGTCATTACAGATCCGCTGAAGTATGACTTTTTTATTGTGTCCCAAAGCGTAAAGCAAGGAACTGTTTCGCCGACGTCATACAACGTTATTGCTGATAATACAGGCTTAAGTCCGGATCACATGCAGTTGATAACGTATAGGCTATGCCATATGTATTATAATTTCAATGGGACCGTTAGAGTTCCGTCTGTGTGCCAATATGCCCATAAATTGGCCATGTTTATGTCACAGACGCTTAGGCAACCAGCTAACCCAAACCTTCAAAATCTTTTATATTTCCTTTAAAAGTACAAAAACGAAAAATTTGAGATAAAAATTAAGGTATAAGTATTAACTTGTAAAATCGTTGTTTCTACGAATTTGAATTGTTGGAAAGTAACAATTTTACCATTTATGATTTTCTACGATTGTAGAAAGAATCTAGAATATGACCTACATAATAAATGATATAAAATCAAATCACGTTTTCTATCAAAATATAAAATATCAGATTCATAATTTCACGTTTCACTTACTAATTTTAAAACGTGTTACAACTTTATTCTTAAATAAAAGTTTTTTTTATAAAATACCCAAGATTTCTGTTATGCACGACATTAATTTATTCAAGTGATATTTTCCTTGATTCGGTTGTGAAGAAAATGAAGTGTAGGTATACACGTGCTTCGAGATAGTTTTAAAATCCTAATAAATGAGTTTTCTTGCCAGCGGAATTGCACAGTAATATTTTAGACGTCGTTTTCAAAAGAATCTTTTTCTTGATCTAATAATTTAATCTTACCCTTAGGAGTAAAAACTTGATTTACAATATAACTTTCATTGTAAATAATCAATACATGTTTATCTGAAAATCAAAATAAAAAATTCAAATTTATATTAAAGACTTAAACCCATGCACTGAACCAAAAAATGTTAAGTCTTACGGTTAACAATATGCATTAAATTTGATGATTTATAAATATGTACCTGATTGCGAACAGCCACACATTTGTGGGTACACTAATCTTCAAAATATTAATCTCTTTAAGCATGTGCTTGAATAAAATCTTGCACACTTAATACTGATTGTTCCTGTGAGCATATAATAGATAGCAGATATTCTGACAGATTTTTATATTTTCTTCTCTAAATTTTTTCTACTCAACTCTGCTCAGTCAATTATTCATACTTTATGTAAAAATAAAACAATTGTTAAATAAAGTATGTAAAAAATTACGTTTCATTGATTACATCTTAATTTCTCTTCTAAATCTATTATATTCTTTACATTGAACTTAATATATGGTAGTTTTCCTACGAGTTTGAAAAGTCTCTGTTTGCGAACTGAGAGGTTTGCGGCCCGAGCCGAAGGCGAGGTCCGTAACGAGGGTCGTAAAGGAGACTTTTCGAACAAGTATTGGAAAACTGCTTTTTCGCCCGAGGAAGTACCAGCCTCCCAAAACCACCCGAGGGCGGAAAAATATTTTTAATACTTGAAATACTTGTATTTATATATGTGCATAAGGATCAACGCAAGCGCTGCCGATGCAAAATTCGAGTATCAGCTCGACAAAGGTTTTTGAGATCATTGATAATATTCTCTGGGAAACGGATAACAAGTTCTATTGACCATAAAACGAACTGTTACATGGCGCGTTACAAAATGTTTTTTTCATCATTAGGTAATGCAGCTGGAACTGATTACGGAACCTACCGTTTGCGCAATCCAAGTGTTAAAAACAGTTAAAATTTGCTATTTATAATGTGATAAGTTTTCAAACAATCTGTTTGATTTAAGTTAATCAAAGAAAAGAGTATAAAACAATGTACGTTAAAAAAGATTTGACAAATCCTTGAAAGGAGTTTTGGTTTACTGTACATAACGCAATCGTCCATCAAGTTTACCTAAAAAATAAATGACTAATGAGATTGGCCGGATCACCGACCTTAGTGGGTATATACTAAAACGTATATTGATTATCGAGAATCACTGGCACACATTAGCATATCCAGTCACTTTAGTATTAGTTTTACTACGTATAATCTGGAGGTATGAAAATACAAAAGTTTTATCCTGAATTTGGTAAATTCGATGACCTTGCCCTAGGTGGCTCGGCCGCCGTATAAAAGGTGGAAGTTAATTTATTGTGAAGCACTGAATTCAATGGCATGCATGTAATTACATTTAACACTACACTGGATACTAGGCTATAAATGATAACACAAGAATTTGAAGGGAAAAAGGACACGAAGCCAAAAAAACCCCTTTTAATTAATAACTACAAAACTGAATTAATATGATGAAACATACGAATATAAGCACGCACGCACGAGCATCACAGTAATTTAAACAAACGCATGACTAACGTACAACTAAACGCATTGGAAATAACAAACCAAATGATTTCACCGAGTGCACTCGCGAATAATTAAATCTAGACGGTAAATCCACTAAGGAGAGATAATCGCCGGTCAAGGCAAGCAAATTTACCAGAGTGATAGTTCAAGAGGTTTAAACTTTGAGGTATTTTAGAATTAGATTTTGCTAAGTACAGAGCAAATTGCACGCAATGACTAGTACAACGAAGCGAGTGCCGTGCGAGACTGCGAGCTGCTAAGCACTAGGGCTCGACAGTGTCGATACGTCGCCCGCTTTCATATCTAAGGGTGTTTTCCGCAATCGTCACCAACAAGTAATTTAAGGTTGCGTTCTACATTACCGTCTTATTTAAATTACTTGCTGGTGACGATTGCGGAAAACACCCTCAGTACGATAATACACCGACCATTTCACTTGTTTTTGACGTCCCTAATGTTATTAGTTTAAACAATCACCCTGTATATACCATTGGATTTTCATTATAATTTATAATAATCAAGAAATATTAATTCCGCTAAACACAGCACAATATGTTTTTGTTTAGGTGCATCAGGTGCATGGAACACGCATAGGAAGCCCTAGCTACATCTGACAGCTCTCTTCTATAGCCTAACCTAGCCTTATGGTAAATCCCAAGTAGAAATTGAAAGTGGGCGAAGACTGGGCCCAAGCTTGGCTGCCATGCCGCCCACCTTGGCCGCAGCTTGACACCTGACTTGGCCTCCAGCCCTCCAGTGGGGTTACAATACGGCGCTAACTTGGGTGCAGCTTGGCCAGACTTTCGCCCAGTAATCGCCCACTTCCGTCTACAGATCAGTATAATATACAGAGTTTACAGAGCCGTCTATATATAAGTATACGAATAAAAGTATATGCACGCGTGCAGCACACACATGACTATATATACAAACTGATATGCTTGAGTATATCCAATACCAGTGCAGACAAAAGTGGGCGATTACTGGGCGAAAGTCGTGCCAAGTCAGGCCAAGCTGCGCCTAAGTCAGCGCCGTATTACAAATCCACCTGCGGCCAGGCTTGGTTGCTTGATTTAGACCATGCGTTTAAGCTGGGCTGTCCACTTTCAATTCTACTCGAGATGTGCTCCGGTCATGTATTTTTTTTTTTATCGTGTTAACACTTCCACCCGATCGAAAATTTAACTAGGCTGCCTCGGTAGTTAGAGGGGGCCTAGGTAGGTCCAAGGTAGGTTTTGTAACGGTGGAATTGGTAGGGACTAGGTAGGAAGCCTATAGCTAGGTGTCTTCCATCTCACGCTTTCTTATGCTGGAGCCGTACCATATAACTTTTTTTCACTTCGCGGGCCTATGTTATAACATAGACCGATGTACAGAAAAATAGTTACATGGTACGGCCCCTGTAGCTGTAGCTACAATATATAGATACAACTGATGCGAATGACAGCATGACAGCCATTTCGGAGCAGTGTGTGTGTGATAATTAACTGACATGTTAAGGGTTCTTTGCATTTTTATTGAAAAGTTTTTTAAATTTTTTTTTGTAAAATGAGCGAGACTGTGAAACGATCGTAGTCATTAAGTAAGAAAAGGGTCAAGAGATATCGTGCTTTAAAACGTGCAATTGCAAAGGAGGAAGAAAAAGATATACATGGCTCCAATATTCGTGCAAATTATGATTGGTTATTAAGTTATTGGGTCAAAATCAAAATGCTGAGGACTAAAACATTTAAAATATTCTCACAGTTTTATTGAATTGACACTATTTTTTCCCTACTGTATTTTTTTACTTTGTAATAATAATTTTTTTAATAAAAAAGTTATCATTGTTGTAAGACATTATGCTATTTATAATTCTCCTAGTCTAAGAATTCATTTCATGAAGTACAGTATGGGTACGTTTTTTTAGTAGTCAGTCGGTTGATCGGTCGGTCCACTTTCTCAAGCAAGTACACCTATATTTACTATGTATACAGATATAGAGGGTACGTTTTTTTTGTAGTCGGTCGGTCCGATTCCTCTAGAATATACATCTGTATACTTAGTAAATATAGGTATACTTTCATGAGAAAATGGACCGACCGACCGACTAAAAAAATTTACCCTATATTACGCACGCCTAGTGAGAGTGAGCGAGGTTAAGGAACAGAGCAGAACATATACTTAAAGCATTTTCAGTGGGGGTATGCTGAAAATATACTCTATAGAGAGGTTGCCTAGGTAGGGCCAAGCTAAGCCGCGTTACATCACGCCATCTGCCTCTACACTTTTGCCTCGCTACGCAGCAGACGAGAAAACAATTGTAACGTAAAAGGTGCACCAAAGTGTAAATACAAACTCTAACATTTCTCAAAATATTGTTCACGATAAGTTGTATTACTCATTACGTCACTGGCTTTATTTGTCGAAAACTACAAAAAAAATTTGAAAAATGCACATGTCAAATTACTTTAAATAGTAATCCCAGAAACTCTGTTAAACCAGAAGCATTATTAATTAACTTAAAAAATAGGGGAGGACTCATCCATGCAAATACTCTTTTTTACAAACTCTTTGATAAAATAGAAAAATATTTTAGAGAAGCCATAAATAATCAGCTTGTCAATGTTTACGAATATGTTGTTGAAAATCTTTTGCACAATTATAAGTTACAGTTCCCTTGTAAACTACATAAAGAGGATACAATATCCAAATCTATCTATTATTAAACTAGCATAAGAATGAGACAATACATTACCATTCAAAATAAGGAAGTTTTAAAAGAAAGTAGAGAGAAAAAAAATTATCGAAATTAGTTTCAACCTAGTTTTTAATTCAGTAATTTGTTGCCTCCATTGTATCTTATTCAACGTATTAGTAGTAGATGGTAAAATTTGTAAATAAATAGTTACGATTATATGATGTAGTTTTTATATCTATATATTGTGCCTCTCTTACTGATACGCCATCTGACGAGTGTGATCGGTACTGCCACAAAACTACAACCCGTTGGAGGTTAGGGTTAGAGGTAGTACTTAGTACCATTTGTCTTATCTTACACCATGGCTCTGGGTCAATAGGTGAAAGGGGCTTGTGTTAATAATTTAAAAGATTTGGGATTTGGGAGCCCTGCTATTTAAGACCGAACAAGTCTTAATATATGGAAATCCCAGGAGAAATTATCTATAATATCTCTATGATTACAACCCCACTGGAGGGCTGGAGGCCAAGTCAGGTGTCAAGCTGCGGCCAAGGTGGGCGGCATGGCAGCCAAGCTTGGGCCCAGTCTTCGCCCACTTTCAATTTCTACTTGGGATTTACCATAAGGCTAGGTTAGGCTATAGAAGAGAGCTGTCAGATGTAGCTAGGGCTTCCTATGCGTGTTCCATGCACCTGATGCACCTAAACAAAAACATATTGTGCTGTGTTTAGCGGAATTAATATTTCTTGCTTATTCGTGCAAAAAGTATAATAAGAATAAAAGTAAGAACTCACAGCTATGTACTTTGATGATGTTGGCATGTTCTATAAATTTATTCGTATTTCAAATTTTCGAATGCTGTGACTGTCCTGTATACGTGCAAACCCACAAAATCCGTAATGAGAATAGTATATTTTTAAACAGCAAAGTTTCTCGTGTTCATTAACTAATTACCAGTTTTTTACAGGGTTTTGATTCATCAACAACAATGACGGGAGTAACATAAAATGTTGTATTCAAGAAATAGAAAAAATTGAAACACTTTCGTTAATTCATCAACACTTTAAAAAATGATGAATTCAGGCAAAAAAAGAAAACGCTCTCACTTCAATGAAAACAAAACATCAAAAAAATTGTGTACGGAGTTGCCTGAGTCAAATTATCAGATAAATGAAGGTTGGTCAAGAAAACTTGATTC